GATGTTTCTCTCTCATCGATGTTTCTAACTCTCTATCCCTCTCCCTTCCTCTCTGTAAAAAATCAATAAAATATAGTTTAAAAAATAAAATATATATTTCATAGTGCTAGATTAAAAATAAAAGTGGCTCCGGTGGCTCCGGCCACAGGCCCGACTGGATCCTCTCTGGAAACAACTCTGTCAGACCCCAGAGTCTCTCTAACAGGGTCTCATCTGGCTCGTCGTTGTCATCCTCTTCCAGCTCCTCAGTCTTCCCCGCATTGCCTTTCAGAAGCAATTTGTCCAGGGGCAGGGGAGCACCTGGACTGAGGGCAGCGATAATGGCGGCCATGGCTGTGTGTGTGTGTGTGTGGGGGGGGGGATGCAGGTCAACATGCATTTTAATGTGTGTCCTTTGAAATTCAGACTAATTTGCTAATAGTTTTACTTCTCTCAAACTAGCTCTTTTCCAGCATGATGCAGTAGAAAAAGAATGAATGGTGTGAGCATCAGCAAAATTTTGCCCTACTTCCAGATCCTTCATTAACTGTGTGATCTTAGGCAAATCATATATATTATTTAGATCTTAAAAAATAAACCACATGATCTCACTTATTTGTGGACTCTAATGAACAAACCGAATTGACCAACAAGGTAAGACCCAAAGCATGGAGGCATGGAACAGATTGACATACCTCCATGTAGGGCTGGGGGGGCGAGGGGAGACACCCCAAAGAACGTATCTACTTATATGCAGAGCCTTAGCTGGAGTGTGTGTGTGTGTGTGTGTGTGTGTGTGTGTGTATGTAAAATAAATAAATAAACCTATATAATGAATGTACTCCTTTACTCTTTCTAGTTCTAAAATGTTTTTACTGTAATCTACTTCAATCCCATTACTTTCTTAGTTTCCCAGTTTCAGTTTGCAATATCCATTCAGTTGAAGATGCAAGCCTCTCATTTCTGTTACCTCCTTTATTTATTTTATTTTGGTCAATGGAGGGGGGGGGAGACATATGTAATACTTTCAACAATAAAGAATTTAAATAAAAACATTTCAGAGAGAAAGGAAGAGAGAGGTTGAAGAGAAATATCAACAATCAGCTGCCTCCTGCATGCCCCAAATGGGGAATGGAACCCATAAGCTGGTTATGTGCCCTGACTGTGGCTCAAACACACAAGCTCTTGGTGTGCAGGACGATGCCCAATAAACTGAACCACATTGGCCAGGACTGTTACCTCCTTTAAAACACAAGCATTCATTCAACACTTCCTTACTCTCCCTACTACATTTTCCTCTCAATTCTCCTTCATTTTCCTCATTTTCTAGCTGTTAGGGTACTTTGTGGAGCCCCTGATCCTTGTAGGCAAATTCCACTTTATTTTAAAACCTGTTTATCAGCGCCAAAAATTCTGTTATCACATGAGAGCATAAGTTTCTCTCCTGTCCTCCTCACTGGAGATTTTACCTATGGACTCATTCAGTGCATGTGGTTTCCTCAGTACCCAGCTTCTGCACCACGGAGAGCTTCTCCAGAGTTTGGTTGCACAGACTCCCTCCCAAGTATCTAGTTCCTGCAGCAAGGATGGATTCTCCAATGTTCAGCTCCGACACCTTCCCTTGACTTCTTCCCCCTTGGCCATTTTTCTAGCGGATACTTCCATATGATTAGCTTTTCTAGATACACTAGACTCGCAGTGGTCGGCAAACTGCGGCTCGCTAGCCACATGCGGCTCTTTGGCCCCTTGAGTATGGCTCTTCCACAAAATACCGACTTCTGCGCATGGGTCACGAAGTTTCAATCGCATTGTACATGCGTGCCCACAGGTGGTATTTTGTGGAAGAGCCACACTCAAGGGGCCAAAGAGCCGCATGTGGCTCACGAGCGTAGTTTGCTGACCACTGCACTAGAGGATATTTTTTCTGCTGATGCCTTGTGGGCAAATTTCTACCAAGTTCCACAAGCATGACAACCATAGTGACTTCTCTTGCATAGTAGTGTCTACTCAAAGAAGGTCTGGATCTTTCTCCTGGGCAGAGTGTGGGGTGGGAACTCTCTTATTTGAGTGCTTTCTTAGCCCTAGGAGTAGTAGCTATTCTTTACTTATACTAATCTTATGTTATTTAAAAGTTTTATTTTTATCCACATCCTCACAAGCACTTGTTGTTTGTTGATTTATTAATGGTAGCCATTCTGACAGGTGTGAGGTGGTACCTCAATCTCATTTTTATTTGCATCTCTCTGATAATTAGTGACATTGAGCATTTTTTCATGTCTCTTGGCCATTTGTATGTCTTATTTGGAGAAGTGTCTATTCAGGTTCTCTACCCATTTTTTAATTGGATTATGTGTCTTCCTTTTGTTAATGTGTATGAGTTCCTTATATATTTTGGAGATTAACCCCTTATCAGATGTACCACTGGTAAATATGTTCTTGTTTCATTTTGATGCTTATTTCTTTTGCTGTGCAGAAGCTTTTTATTTTGATGTAGTCCCATTTATTTTTTTTGTTTGTTTCTCTTGCCTTAGGCATTGTTAGCAGTGAAATTTCTGCTACGTGAGATGTCATATTTTGCTGCCTATATTTTCTTCTAGTATTTTTATGGTTTTCCAAATTAAATTGACTTATATGCATATATGCATAGCCCGTGGACAGACAATAGGGCAGGGAGGGCATGGGAGGGGAGGAGAGCTGGTAAAGGGGGTCAATGGTGGATGGAAGGGACATCTGTAATATGTTCACTATAAATATAAATTTTTAAAAAGTCTTCTGATTTCTTATTAGCTAATACCTTGTTATTCTCATTCACTATTATAGTCAATAACTCTTTGTCTCAAAATTTTCCTATTCAAATTACAGTGTGGTTTTTTCCTCCTAATTGGGCCCAGACTGATGCAGATGATTCTATTTCTTTATAGCTTAATTCACTCCTTAATTCTTTGCAACAGGCTTCTATTACTGCTAATACAGAAATGTTGTAAAATCCAACCACATTTCTCCGTACTGC